TTTTTTTTTTTTTTTTTTTTTGAGTTGGAGTGTCACTCTGTTTCCCAGGCAGGAATGCAGTGGCACACTCACGGCCACTCCAAGGTCGACCTGCTGCTAGGCTCCAGCGATCCTTTTTCCTCAGCCTTCCCAGTAGCTGGAACTACAGGTGTGCACTACCACACTCAGCTAATTTTTGATTGATTGTAGAGATGAGGTCTCGCCAAGTTGCCCGGGCTGGTCTCAAACCCGCGGGCTCAGGGCATCCACTTGCCTTGGCCCCTCAAGGTGCTGGGATGATAGGCTGAGCTACCGAGCCTGGCCTAACTGAACTTTTTGTCTTAAAAGGATGTAGTGCTGGGCACGTGGCTCGCGCCTATAATCCCAGCACTTTGGGAGGCTGAGGTGAAAGGACTGACAGAGCCCACAAATTTGAGACCAACCTGAGCAACTTGACAAGGCCTCTTCTCTACAGTAAATCAAGAAAAATTAGCTGGACCAGTTCTAGCTCCTTGGAAGGCTGAGGCCGAAGGGTCGCCGGAGCCCAGCTGGTCGAGGCTGTGCTATTCGTGAGCGTGCCACTGCACTCCAGCCTGGGCAACAGAGTGAGACTCCCAACTCAGAAAAAAAATGTTGTGACTGTTAACAGTTGTCTACCTTATGATCACCTTTCCCATGTATAAAATATATCTACGGCTCATTTCATTAGATAGACATTTTCTTTAAAGCCACTGTAAAGAAAGCAAATGCAAAACGTAATCCCTGCCCTTAAGCTTAAGAAATGAATCTGGGGACGTAAACGGAAGATGAGGCTGAAGAGTGAGGCAGGAGTTGTCTCGGCCCCGCGGGAGGAGCAGGGCGCTGGGCCTTTGTGGCAGAAGGTCACAGTGAAAGAGGACTCTGGATCCCAGCTGTGTGGCTGCTCAGCAATACAGTTGAAGCAGGGTGTTTGGAAGGTGATGTCCAGAAAGCCTGGGTCCTGAAGAGCTTTGCACGCCACTTGGAGAATCTGCGTGTTTATTCCAAAATCATTAAAGAGCTACTTACACCTTTTGAGGAGAACGCTTTTACCACTCTTGAGGCTCATGGTGGTTCTGCTGTGCAAGGCGTACTGCAGTTTGGTGGGTAGACTTGGGCAGAAGCTCAGATGGGGCATCAGTACCCTGGATGGGGGGCGTAGACGTGAGAGTACAGGACAAACATACTCGCCGGGGGTGAAGACTGAGGTAAGAAGCTGCTGAAAATTAACAAATGCCTCTGTAGGTAAGTGTGCTCGGAACACAAATTTATTTCAGAAAGAGGAAATAATATAGCCATAAACACAAGCAAGTTTTGGCTTCACTGCTTACTGAAGAAGTATAGGTTTTTTCCTCTTAAGAAATTGGCTCCTGACATCTCTATGATAGGGAGTTCTGGTAGAGACGCTGGAGGAGGTAAGAGGGCTGCATTTAAACTTGCAGAGGCAGAGCATTGTCTAGTGGCGATTTCCTGCATGAGCCCAGAGTGTCCTAGTTGAGAAGTCAAGAAATTCCCTGGTATTCAACTGATGGCAAAGTTGGCAGCCTGCGTTTTAGAGTGCTGGCAGGATGGGGTGAGCTTCAAAGCCAGCAGTGGCCAGCCACAGGACATATTTTGTTGACTAGCCACAGCAGAGTAACTCATCTGAAGCCAGTAGCGGAAATTAGCAGGGAGCAGCCTGACCTTCAAAGGGTAAGTGTCTGTCAGGAAAGGTCCAGATTGTAGCGGGAGCATGAATGAGAGTGAAAAACCCAACTGTGCGGTGCTCTCCTGTGCAGACAGTGAGACTGGCTGCAGTATAGAGTGCTCTTTCTCTGCTGGGTGCTGTCTTACTAGGCTTGAAGCATACTGACTTATTCAGGCCTCGACTTTGAAGTAGATGCTGTCCTTGCCCCATTGTGTAGAGCAGGCAGAATGAGGCCCACACAAGCTAAGTGTGTCCCCAAAGTCACACACACTCAGTCCAGGCCGTCTGGCTCCTTTCATGAGACAGCAGGACTTGCAGGTGGTCCAGAGAGTTAGGTGAAAGGCTGGGGCACAGAGCAGGCAAAAAGCATCTACTTCTGTTTTGGTGCCCAGAAGGGCAGGTCGTGGGATGCCTACTGGACAGAGGCCCTGAGGAGGAAGGGTTCAGAGGTCTGCTGGGGTCGAGAGGAAGCTTGACTCAATGCAGGAAGGGCATCTTGGACTAGACCAAGGGCACCCAAGGCACTTCTGGTGCCCAGAACACAGTGCCTGCCTGTGACCCCAGCCATCCCCAGCACCTCTGCACCTCCAGTCAGGTGGGCTGTCTTGATGACTGGCCCTGACTCGGCTGGCCATGGGAGCAGCTGGTGAACAAGCCAATCTCTCTCCCTTTGCAGATATCGACCAGCTCATCACCATCAGTGGCATGGTGATCAGGACGTCCCAGCTGATTCCTGAGATGCAGGAGGCCTTCTTCCAGTGCCAAGTGTGTGCCCACACAACCCGGGTGGAAATAGACCGGGGCCGCATCGCCGAGCCCAGCGTGTGTGGGCACTGCCACACCACTCACAGCATGGCCCTCATCCACAACCGTTCCCTGTTCTCTGACAAGCAGATGGTGCGTGGCTACCCTGGTGCCCAGGCAGGGCTCCCAGGGCGATACTTTTGCCTTTGTTTTGCCCCTATCTGAATCCTCAAAAAGCCACATTTGGCCGGGCTCGGTGGCTCAGGCTGTCATCCCAGCACTTTGGGAGGCTGAGGTGAGAGGATTGTCTTAGCCCATGGGTTCGAGACCCACCTGGGCAACTTGCTGAGACCTTGTCTCTAAAATAAATCAAAGATTAGCCGGGCGTGGTAATGTGCGCCTGTACTTCCGACTACTTGGAAGGCTGAGGCAGAAGGATCGCCGGAGCCCAGCAGGTCGAGGCTGTGGTGTTCGTGAGCATGCCACTACCCTCCAGCCTGGGTGACAGAGTGAGACTCCAACTCAAAAAAAAAAACCACATATATCACCAAGACCTTAAACCTTGCCGTCTCAAACCCCTGGGCTTAAGTCACCCTCCCAAAGCACTGAGATTACAGGCATGAACCAATGTGCCCCTAAACCTTGACTCCTGAGTGAAATTGGCAGCTTCCATCCTCTGATGGTACAGGATTTGTTGGTAGGTTTTGGGCTGGAATATGCAGAGCACACCAAGGCTCCAGCCTTGGTACAGGGCACCTGTTTTATTACCAGGAAGCACTAGTTAATTGTTATATACTCCATGTGTTCATGGCCTCAGTTGCTTCATAAGAAAACATACCTTCAGCCAGACACAATGACTCAGCCTGTTATCCCAGGACTTTGGGAGGCTGAGGTCAGAAGATTGCCTGATCCTAGGGATTCAAGACCAGCCTGGGCAACTTGGTGAGACTTCGTCTTTACAATAAATCAAAAAATAAGTCGGGCATGGTAGCATGCAGCTATAGTCCCAGCTATGTGGAATGGTTGCCTGAGCCCAGGAAGTTGAGGCTGTGGTGACCATGAGCATGCCACAAAAAAAGAAAAAAACATGCCATCTTCCACTATAAACATCTTAAAAGGTTCAGGTCATTTGTAAACAGATCAAATTAGCCTACTTTTTGGTTTATTCAGTTAAATTAGCATGAAATGCTTTTATGGGAAGTATTTAAGATGTAGGATGACTTTAGGTAGGTTAGATATGAGTATATAAGCCAGGTGTGGTAGCATGTGCCTGTAGTTCCAGCTACTTGGAAGGCTGAGACAGAAGGATCGCCTGAGCCCAGCAGGCCAAGGCTGCAGTGGCTGTGAGCGTGCCACTGCACTCCAGCCTGGGCGACAGAGTGAAACTCCAACTCAAAAAAAATGTGTCAACTTCACCCAAGAAGCCTAGAGGTAACTTCTAAAGAAATAATTAGAAACACAGACAAACACTTGTACCAAGAGATATGTACTGCAACCTTACGTGGCAAAAACGGGAATGAAATTTCTCCTCCAAGATGGGAGTGTTTAAATAACAGCATCCTTCTTTATTTTATTTGCCTCACCTCTATGCTAATGAGAATAAATGAACATCCTTTTAAAACATTTGTCATGCCACCTTAAAAAGCAGGTATTTTTTTTTTAAAGGAAGTGAAGGTGCTAGGTATCAGATATAGTTCTCTCAAGCCGTACAAAGACATGTAGATTTGGTCTCTACTGCGCTTCTTGTCGTGTCCTAAGTTTTCTCTGTTTGCCACTCTTCCTTCAGATCAAACTTCAGGAGTCTCCAGAAGACATGCCAGCGGGGCAGACACCTCACACTGTTTTCCTTTTTGCTCACAATGATCTTGTTGACAAGGTTCAGCCTGGGGACAGAGTGAATGTCACAGGTAAGAAGAGATATGCACCCACACATGAGGATGTTTGTCTTGCTTTTTATGCCACTCTTGGGCGACTCCTTGGACTCAGTCGTGAATCCGTTGGAATGGAGCTAGTTGTCCTCCACGTGTCAGTGCCGGCCTCTGAGAATATGAGGTCTATCTCTGCTTTACCCACCACCTTCTTAGCTTAGTACCGTGGCCCAGCAGCATGAAGTCTTGTAGTTCTTCCCACACCTGAATTTTGCACGTCGTGGTCCCTGTAGTCACTTGCCTCTTGCTATCTCAGTGTTGCAGAGTTATGTGTGTGTCTTGAATTGATGACATTACTATCATAGGAGAGCAGCTGAAGCTGAAGACGAGGCTAGCACTGGTACAGTCTGAATTAATGCTGTCAGCTCAAGGAACTGTCACTACCCTGGAATTTTAAATGTTCTACTTATTTCCCAAAAGTCATGGAGAGGAATGAGTTGGAGCACCTTGTTTCCACTCTCAGAAGCCGATAATCAGGGATGTGCAGGTGGCAGTAGCTTAGCTGCTGTGGTCAGTTATGGCCCTGTGATCTATATCCTCTTCTCTTCCTGCCAAGAGAGTGCCGTTTCCACAGCACCTTATGAGTGGCAGTCTTTCCACGCATTAGAGGCATGCAGAATTCTTGTTTGGGGGTTGGTGTTGATGGCAGCATTGGTCTTCATTCATGGGCAAGGTGAGGACTGATCCAGGGAGTGCCTGGCTCCTGGGGAAGAGAGTCTGAGGCACAGTCCATCAGTTATTTTAACTGGAGCAGGAGTTCTCATACCACTTCTTAGCAGTGTGAAGTCCAGCAATTGTCACTAACAAGCTCAGTTGTAAAAGTACACAGTAGTTGAAAACTTGAAAGAATGTGTAATTTTTAAATGAGATGTGCAGGGGGTTTTTTTGGTTTTTTTTTTTTTTGAGTTGGAGTCTCACTCTGTCGCCCACTCCCAGCCACCGCAGCCTAGACCTGCTGGGCTCTGGCAATCCTTCCGCCTCAGCCTTCCAAGTAGCTGGAACTACAGATGCGCGCTACCACGCCCGGCTAATTTTTTGGTTTATTGTAGAGATGAGGTCTCACCAAGTTGCCCAGGCAGGTCTCGAACCCGCGGGCTCAGGCAGTCCACTCACCTCAGCCTCCCAAGGCGTAGGATAACAGCCTGAACCACTGAGCCCGGCTGCAAGATGTGCAGTTTTAGAATTTTTTTCTTTGAGTCGGGGTTCTCACTTTGTCACCCAGGTAGAGTACAGTGGCGCCATCACAGCTCATCTCAACCTCAGCCTTCTGGGCTCAATTGACCACGTGTGGCATGATGATGCCCAGATAGCTGCTCAGGATCGCTGCTAGTAAGTGGTCGCAGGCAGACACGTTGTCAGGGCTGCCACTTGCAGAAACCCGAGTCTTCGCGGCTTGCCTCTTTCCTGCTGACAGCTCCCCACCGGATCAGACAGGGCAGGAGCTTGGCAGTGGAGGCCTGAGTCCTGGGCTCAGAAAGGGCATGGAGCCCATGTAAAGCTCGCCTCCTCTGGGCATAGCTGCCAGCGTGGAGTGCCTTGCTATCCTTCGTGGCTACGCTGGTTGTCAAGACCCTCCAAGGAAGATGTCCAAAGGTAAGAGTGCATCTTGTGGTGTCCTCAGGCATCTACCGAGCAGTGCCCATTCGAGTCAACCCAAGAGTGAGTAGCGTGAAGTCTGTCTACAAAACCCACATTGATGTCATTCATTATCGGAAAACGGATGCCAAACGTTTGCACGGCCTCGATGAAGAAGCAGAACTGAAACTTTTTTCAGAGAAACGTGTGGAATTGCTTAAAGAACTTTCCAGGAAACCAGACATTTATGAGAGACTTGCTTCAGCTTTGGCTCCAAGCATTTATGAACATGAAGATATAAAGAAGGTAAGAGTGGATTTTTAGCTTAGGGTTGGAATTTACAGTTTTGGGGGACCACATAGCTTAAACATCCATTCTACCTTCTCACCCGTTGCACCCCATAAAGGGTACAAGTTATGCCTATTACAGCAAGGTGCTGGCACCCTGACCTGGTCACTCAGGAGACTCATAGCCTAATTGATATCCTCATCGCTGCACTGAACTTGTGTTTCTGAACACGGGTCAGAATAGGGGCTTATGTGGTTAATGTTCTGGCATGATGGCCTGTGCTTGTGTATAAATTGGTCAATGATACTTAGGGCTTATCAAAGCACTTTCACACACCTATTTATACTTTCCTGCAAGTGCCTTAATTGTAGTTATGTATAAGAGTAGAACGGTACCTCTAAAGTATAAAGTAAATCTCAATTGCTCTGCAGTAAATGAGTGTTTTGACATGCTTGTATGTTGGTTTATTTAGGGAATCTTGCTTCAACTCTTTGGTGGAACAAGGAAGGATTTTAGTCACACAGGAAGGGGCAAATTTCGTGCGGAGATCAACATCCTGCTGTGCGGTGACCCTGGCACCAGCAAATCTCAGCTGCTGCAATATGTGTACAACCTGGTACCCCGGGGCCAGTACACATCCGGGAAGGGCTCCAGTGCAGTTGGCCTTACTGCATACGTGATGAAAGACCCTGAGACCAGGCAGCTGGTCCTACAGACAGGTGCCCTTGTCCTGAGCGACAACGGTGTCTGCTGTATTGATGAGTTTGACAAGATGAATGAAAGTACAAGATCAGTGTTGCATGAAGTCATGGAGCAGCAGACTCTTTCCATTGCAAAGGTAAGTCACTTTCTCCACTGTGAACATGGACGCGTTTAAAATGTGTTAACCCAGCGGGGCATGGTGGCTCAAATCTGTAATCTCAGCACTTTGGGAGGCCGAGATAAGGGGATTGCCTGAGCCTATGGGCTCAAGAACAGCCTGGGCAACTTGACGAGATCTCATCTCTACAATAAATAAATACATAATTAGCCGGGTGTGGTAGCATGCACCTGTATTTCCAACTACTTGGAAGGCCAAGGCAGAAGGATCGCCTAAGCCCAGCAGGTCGCTGCTGGGGTGGCCATGAGTGTGCCACTGCACTCCAGCCTGGGCAACAGAGTGAGACTCCAACTCAAAAAATAAATAAAAATAAAATGTGTGGACCCTTGAAATACACCATGCTAGATTACCCTGACTCTAACTTGGGGAAACTGATAAGTACTTTTTAGATCACATTTAGAGCTAAATCTAAATATCTTTTGTAGGATATTGTCTTTCATCTTTTTTGCTGCACTGACCTACTAACGTATTTATAGAACTTAAGCTTGTCCGAAAGCTCATGTGAGGGGTTTGCTTTCTGAGAGAGACATGATTGATTCTAGCACACATTCATCTCAATTCAGTCCTTGGCATGGATTCAAGAACAGAGCTTGTCCTTGTGAACTGTTGGAGTCAGTAAAGGTGATGTGGCTCTCATATAGCAGAAACTGCAGAGGGTCTATGGGCTTAGTAGGCAGGTGGGCAGAGATGGCTCTTGGTCTTGCCAGCGTCAGGAGAGACTTCTAACTATGCTGTTGTATTTTTGGGTTTTTTTGTTTTTTGTTTTTTTTTTTCCCCTCCTGTTTTGTTTTTCGATAGGCTGGGATCATCTGTCAGCTCAATGCACGCACCTCTGTCCTGGCAGCAGCAAATCCCATTGAGTCTCAGTGGAATCCTAAGAAAACAACTATTGAAAACATCCAGCTCCCTCACACTTTATTATCAAGGTATTAAACTATATTTTTATTTTGTGAAGTGGATGTTCTTATTTTGCTCGTTTGGAGAATATTCAGGGTGAGATTGAAAAGGAAATGTGTTAGTTGTCTTTACGTGCCGGGCACAATGTCTCATGCCTGCAATCCCAGCACTTTGAGAGGCAGAGGCGAGAGGATTGCCTGAGTTTGGGGCTTCAAACCATCCTAGGCAACTTGACAAGACCTCATCTCCGCAATAGGAGGTAGGTAGGGTGGATGGATGGATGTTCGGAAGGACGGACCAACGGATCAGCCAGCCCACCTACCCAGAATGTTTCAGATCTGGTTGCTCACGGGTTTTCATGGCAAGAATTCTGTGTTCTCCACTCGGGTGTGGCTCGCATCTTGCTTTCATTCGTTTTTTGAAGCAATTGGGATGTTCCACTTTCACTCTTTTTCACGTGGTGCTCTCTGTCATTTTAATCCTCAGGCCACTCAAAGAACAGCCCCACACAGTGGACAAGGCTCTGCAAAATTCGATGTGTTGAAGCATAATCGCGTGGTCTTCCCTTTTTCTCAGCCCCACTACTGCAAGTGTGGAATGTGGATAGATTTTTTTTTTTTTTTTTTTTTTCATTTTCATCTGCATCTATTTGGGCTGAATTTATTCCCGTCCCATAAGTTTTTGTTTCTTCAGTTTCTTCTGGGATATCTTTTTCTTCCGTGTGACCTCCTCCTCTGATTTGGGAACAATCTGCTCCTTTCCAGTGAGGATCATCTCTGGCAGGGGGAGCTTATGTATGGGTTGATGCAACCATGAGTCTTGTATGTCCAGCGGCACATCTTGGGGGCTTTGTTCACCTGGATGTGCTCAGTGAACTGAGAATCAACGTCTAAGCCCATCAGCCCAGCATTGCTCTCTGCACTTTTCAGCATGTGCAGCAAAAATTCAGCACTCTTTTTGGGCCACTGAGTTGGAGTCTCACTCCATCACCCAGACTGGAGTGCAGTGGCCTCTCCCGGCCACCGCAGCCTCGACCTGCTGGGCTCTGGCGATCCTTCCGCCTCAGCCTTCCGAGTAGCTGTAACTGTAGGCACATACTACCATGCCCGGCTAATAATTTTTTGATTTATTGTAGAGATGAGGTCTCGCCAAGTTGCCCAGGCGGGTATCGAGCCCGCGGGCTCATGCAGTTCACTCACCTCAGCCTCCCAAAGGCGCGGGATTACTGGTTGAGCCACCGAGCCTGGCAGATATTCTTTCTTTCTTTTTTTTTTTTTGAGTTGGAGTCTCACTCCGTCACCCCAACTGGAGTGCAGTGGCACGTTCCCGGCCACTGCAGCCTCAACCTCCTGGGCTCTGGCGATCCTTCCGCCTCAGCCTTCCAAGTAGCTAGAACTACAGGCGTGCACTACCATGCCTGGCTAATTTTTTGATTTATTGTAGAGATGAGGTCTTGCCAACTTGCCCCGGGCAGGTCTCAAACCCTCCGGCTCAGGCAATCCACTCAACCTTGGCCTCCCAAGGTGCAGGATTACAGGCTGAGCCACCAAGCCAGGCTGGATTTTAGATTTTAATTACTTTTTCTTACGAAATAGTCTTTTTTTGAGCTGGGCATGGTGGTTCACACCTGTAATCCCAGTGCTTTGGGAGGCGGAGGCAGGAGGATTGCCTGAGCCAGGGTTTTGAGACCAGCCTGGGCAACTTGGTGAGACCTCATGTCGACAATAAATCAAAAAAATTAGCCAGGTGCGGTGGTGCACACCTGTAGTTCTAGCTACTTGGAAGGCTGAGGCTGGATGGCCTGAGCCCAGTAGGTTGAGGTTGTGGGTCATGAGCGTGCCACTGCACTCTAGCCTAGGTGACACTATGAGACTCTGACTCAAAAAAACAAAATTCCAGTCTTTAAAATTGTAGTAACTTTTCCCTGGGAGAAAAAGACTACTTTGCTTCAGCTGTTTTGTCCCTAGCCATTTTCTTAGTAGTCCTAAGATCTAGGAAGGCATAAGGAAGTGAGCTGACCAAAAAGCCCTTGCAGCCACTTACACAGAAGATGCCTTCTCTCTCTGGAGGGTCAGGAAGTACATGTTCACTGCACATGTCTACAGTGCATGAACAGTCTTTATATTATGCTTGTAGGTGTGCTGGTGTCCCAGCCAGAGTAACTTTTTTCTTGGTTTTCTAGGTTTGATCTGATCTTCCTCATGCTGGACCCTCAGGATGAAGCCTACGACAGGCGCCTGGCTCACCACCTGGTAGCACTGTACTACCAGAGTGAGGAGCAGGCCGAGGAAGAACTCCTGGATATGGCGGTGCTGAAGGACTACATCGCCTATGCGCACAGCACCATCATGCCTAGGCTGAGCGAGGAAGCCAGTCAGGCTCTCATTGAGGTAACCTGGCCTGGAAAGAGGCTCACTGGGCCTGTCGTCAGAAGCATACCTAGACTGCATCCCCTTTAAACATTATTTTCTTGAGGACAGCATAACTGTTTTCTGTAACTATTTCCTCCTGTGGCTTTTCCAAATGTTGTAAAAAGTGAGAATGAATTCATTGATGTAGGTCGTACACATACTTTTTTAAGTTTAAATACTTAAAACCACAGTGGATTTACAGTCGAAGACCTAAGTTCAAATACAGGTGATACCTCTTAGTAATTTGGCGGTTCTGGATAAGTCATCCCATTGCTCTAAGCTTCCATTTGCTTGTTTGTACAAAGTAAAATGACAGGTAAATAAAGTTCACTTTTTGGCATCCTTGTACGTGGGAAGCATTGCACAACAGCACATTTTAGATTGTTAAAGCGTTGTGATATTAAGAAGGTTCCTGGTACTCTGATGGGCTGTAGGTCCTAACTGATACATCTTACCTTTGTAACATTCACCCAGTGATCCTTTGTATGCCTCGTCTAGTGGGTCTCTAGCCAGGGATGTAGTCCAGGACCGGCGCTTGAACACCTTTCTCAGACAGGCCCTCATTTTGTCTTCTGCACTAATTGTAGCCTGCTTCTTGCCCCACAAGCCATGTCCCCCTCCCCTGCTATGCTGTGCCCTTCTCTGTTCTTCAGAACTACACCAAATATCACTTTCTCCAAGAGGTCTTCCCAGATATCTCCCAGTCAGAATAGTCTCAGCCATCACTGCACACTGGGTGTCAAAATCCTCCCAGGATTTCTGTGGTCTGGCTGTTTTGTCTCTCCCACTTGGTGAGTTCCAGGGCCCAGGACTAGGTCTGACGTTTGGATTCCACTCAGTACCTCCACATAGCGGCTGGGCAGGAGTTCAGTTTATTTAATAGACCCCCAACTGCTTAATAGTTGAACCATGAAACTGAGGTTATAGTCTCCAAGGAATTTGCTTTTATTTTTCTAACTACACTAGGCTTATGTAGACATGAGGAAGATTGGCAGTAGCCGAGGAATGGTTTCTGCATACCCTCGACAACTGGAATCCTTGATCCGCTTAGCAGAAGCCCATGCTAAAGTACGATTTTCAAACAAAGTTGAAGCAATTGATGTGGAAGAGGCCAAACGCCTCCATCGGGAAGCACTGAAACAGTCTGCAACTGATCCCCGGACTGGCATCGTGGACATATCTATTCTTACTACAGGTTTGTAATTTCCACTGAGCAAAAAATACTCTTGAAAATCATGTAAATATGTAGGTAGTTAATATGTCACATGCAACCCAACTGTAAATCATTTGAAACAAGTTCTCTACCTTTTGGGGTTCAGGAGGACCTCTTTGAGATTCTGGTGGAAGTTGCCCCTCAGTCTTCTCGTAATACAAATAGACTCTAGGCCAGGAATGGTAGCTCATGCCTGTAATCCCAGCACTTTGGGAGGCAGAGGTGAATGGATTGCCTGAGCCCAGGGATTCAAGACCAGCCTGGGCAACTTGGCAAGACCTCGTGTCTACAATAGATCAAAAAACTAGCCAGGTTTGGTGGCGCACACCTCTGTAGTCCTAGCTATATTTGGAAGGCCTAGGCAGAATAATCACCTTGGAGATCAAGGGTCTGGTGGCTGTGGGGCATGATTGTGCCACTACACTTGAGCCTGGGTGACAGTGAGACTCTGACTCCAAAAAAGTGTGTGTAGAGACACACTAATGCACACTTTTGTGTTTAATTTTAGAGATTCTATCTGCTGGGTAGGCAGTCACTTTAGCTTATTTTTAAGAAGTAGTTAATTTCTTAAGCACTGACTGCTTACTGTATAGATTATGTGAACTGTATTTTGATGGAAAGTAGCAACTCTTGGTTTAGAAAATTTGAAACAACAGAATTCAAAATTCATTATTCTTTTGAATGTATTCTGGCATTCAGCCACTGTACTCTTACCTTTCTTGGCAATGCTGCTAAAAAAAATGTAGAATTTGAAACATTTTACGACTTAATAGCAGAAATGTTTTTCTTTATTTTTTTTCTAAAATCAGGAATGAGTGCTACCTCTCGTAAACGGAAAGAAGAATTAGCTGAAGCATTGAAAAAACTTATTTTATCTAAGGGCAAAACACCTGCTCTAAAATACCAGCAACTTTTTGAAGATATCCGAGGACAATCTGATATAGTAAGTGTTTACATGTGTTTTTTGTTTAATAGTTTTTTTCTCTTTTTCCTTAATATTGCTTTTGGGATTTTAAAAATTATTTTCTTTATTATTTAAATAATGAATATAGATGAGAATAAAAAAAGTAAAATGATCCTAAAGATTATTGTCAAGAAATGGTCACGGTTCAAAACATTGCACCCCTTTTAGAGATTTTGCATGCATAAATTTGTCTTGGGAGTTTTCGTTTGCCCCTTTATGAGTAAGTAAGGTAATTTGTTCAGTGAAAAGATCTGCGTAAGCCAGAGCCCACTCTGCCTACTTTTGTAACCCCCTTTCTTTCACTAATGTCCTTAGCTGCATTGACGTTGGAGGCAGAGTTGATGGTTACAACAGAGACTGTACAGATGCCAGTCCTATGGTGTGTACCATCAGGCCCTTTACAGGAAATCTTTGCCACCCCTGATTTAAAGCATAAGAAATGTGTGCAGCCTTTAACACTAAAATTACTGTGTCTCTAAGGGAGGACTGGGCATACAAAGTCTCTATTTTCCTTCTCTTCCCCCAGGCAATCACCAAAGACATGTTTGAAGAAGCACTGCGTGCCTTGGCTGATGCTGACTTCTTGACGGTGACGGGGAAGACTGTCCGCTTGCTCTGAAGCAGCTGTGAGTGGCGCTACCTGTGCGGCCTGCTGGGAAGCTTGCTCACTCGCCTGCTGTCTTTGGGCAGTCAGCAGCCAACACTGAAATCTGTGTAAATAGATTCTTTTTTTTTTTTTTTTTTTTTTGAGTCGGAGTCTCACTCGGTCGCCCAGACTGGAGTGCAGTGGCCACTCCCGGCCACCTCAGCCTCGACCTGCTGGGCTCTGGCGAT